AAAAAAAAAAAAGAAATACAGCACTATGTTACAGTATCTTTTATATTGCTGTTACATAATTAATACCTGATAATAAGGGAATATTTAAATATAGTGTAGTATATCCATATTATACAGCCATCAAAACTGAAGTTGGTAAAGGCATTTTAATGCTGACATTAAGTGAATCTAGCAAACTTTCAAATTGTAGACCCAGTGTGATCCAAACTGACCTTCCCCCACTGTTTCACAGGATGCTTATAGGAATGCTATAAATAGAAAAGTTCCATTTTCCAACAAGGTTGGAAAAGTTATAGGCATATACTTTGATGCTACTGGAAGCCTTGTATAGGCAAATAAAATGGGAAATAAAAAAAAAATTAGGCTCAGTATACAGGGTCACTGTTTTTATGCAGGGCATCCTAGGGACTGCTGCTCATGAGGCACATTTCAGAAAACCCTGGAGGCAACACCTAGGAAAAGATTGCCATGTTGAAAGGGGTCATGGCTACTGTTAGTCATGGAATTATTTTCTTTCTTCCTTGGAATTTTTTGAATTGCCCTACAAAAATGTCGCAAGTGTCATGAAAGGAAGCGAGCCAGAGGATCATTCTCCACCCAGCGTCAGCAGGTGTAGAGTGCTATAGAGTCAGCCAGCACACAGATTCAAAATGGCAGTCATGCCTGAGAGGACAGCGGCGCAGAGGGTGGGATGGAGGCCGGGAGAGGGGAGCCGCCCAGCGCTGCCTGGGTGACTCTCATGCTCTGCCTACATTGCAAAGGGCATGGGGTGCAGTCAGGGTCACAGCTCTGCCGCGTGCTCCTACCCCACCCGGGGACTGGCCAGGGATTTCTCCATGCCTCAGAGATCATCCCCAGGATGGGAGCCATCTTCCCACGTTCTGGAATATGCTGCCTGCCTATTCTTGATTGCAGACTTCAAGTCCAAGGTGCATTGGATGGGCCTGCTTGGATTTGATGCCTCCTCCTTAGTTCCCCACTCTTCTACTACCCCTAGACTCTGTCTCCAGGTCTTCCTCTGTGCCACTCCCACACCACTGGGTCAGCCCAAGAGCCTGCCCCAGCCCAGCATCTGGTCTTAGGCATGTAGCCAGAGGGATGTAAACTTGGTTAGGACCTCAGAAGCAGGTACTGAGCTGTACATGCAGTGGGGTGTAACAGGATTTTGGAAATACTTGCTTGGACACCTCCTGATTACCGTCCAAGGGCCCCTAAAATATTCATCAGGCTTTATCAGGCTAATGGGCTTCAAAAGGAGCAATTTTCTGAGACATGAGACAGGACAATATAAAAAGAACATTAAGGAAAAAAGTCCTATTCCAAAATGAAAAGGAAAAGATCATTTAGCATCCCTGTTGGTGTTATCTATTCATGAGAAACAGCACATTTAACCCAGAATGGGATGTAGGAAGGGCTCTGAAGCCCTCACCTTAGGGTCATCTTCAGGCAGAACTCATCTATCTTCACTGACACAGATGGCGGGGGCAATGGAGATGAGGATGCAGTGAGAGACACTTCAGAGGTGGGCTCCACAGGGTGCAGAGGGATTTGAGGGAGTGGGGGTATGGAGAAGGTCAAACATGAGTCCCAAGGCACTGGCTTAAGGGATGAGAGAAGGGGCACCATTCTCCGGCTTGGCCACCTTCCTGTCTCCCTTCCTAAGGCCCACTTGGTATCTATTTTGTCTTGGTTTCTATTTTGGACTGTGCTGTTGGAATTCAGCTCCTTGAGGTCGGGGATTATGACTCCATTCTAGCCCCCAGTGTCTCTACCCATCCATTAAAGTTGGGTTTTGGTTACAAGTCATAAGACCAGGAATCTTGGGCACAAAAGTTGTGAGAGGCCATAAGTGTAAGAGTGCTCTGTACCTGTCCAGGCCAGGAGGACCATTTATGGTCCTTCTCTGCCTCCCCATGTCCTCCAAAGTAGGATGCAGGTGAGTGCCCCAGGGAAGACTGTCTTTCTCAGACTGTATTTTGCTCGAGTTGAAGGGGCCATGAGGTTACTCCTTGGTTGTTCCTGAGACAAAGGAATCGGGGGCTCTTACTCTTCTGTATTCCATCCTCCTTCCTTGTCCCCTGTTCTTCGCCTTCTCTCTTGCTCTTTTCTAGTCCCTAATTCTCTCCCATTTTCATCTTTCTCTTTCTCTTCCTCCTTCCCTTCTCTATTCCCAACTTCATTTCTACTTTCAATCTAGCATCTTTCTTTTTCTAGCCTCGCCTATCCCCAAGCTTAGGAAAATAATTTCAATTTAACTTTTTTCTCTACTAAAGAACTAAGAAAAATTTTATACAAAGCAGATTTAAGCTGTCACCCACCCTGTCCACCAAGACCTGGCCAGGCTCGACAGCGGTGAATTACATGACCAAGATACTTGTCTGATGATTGGATTCTCTGGTGTTCCTCTACCCCATGGTTTGCTCCATCAAGTTCGATGTGAGCTTTTCTAACCTCACTTACAGCAACCATTATATTCATTGAGTTCTTTGCAATAAGAACGTTTGACCCAAAAACATCTTCTCTCGCTTTCATAATTAGAATAAAAGCCTGTTTGAGGTTTCATTGCATATTCAATTTTAAGTGTTGCTTCTCTTTCTTTTCATTAGATATGTGACAAAGAATGGCATTACTACGTCATCAATGTGGAGTTTCCTGTAGTTACCTTATACATGGATGGAGCAACATATGAACCCTATCTGGTGACCAACGACTGGCCCATTCATCCATCTCACATAGCCATGCAACTTACGGTCGGTGCTTGTTGGCAAGGTAACTCTGCGTCAAGCCCTTCTCCCTGGCCCATCCGTGTACAGTCCATGAAAGGTACTGAGAGAAAAAAGGGAAAAGCAAATGATGTGAGAATGAGCCTAGAAAATTTATTACCCCTTACTAATAAAACAGGACCTATAAAAATAAGGATTAATCCAGACACTAAACTTGTGTAATAATAAGCACTTGACTTGAGACCAGATTTTGATTTTAGATCAACATGAGCAATTTCATGGTTGCCTCTGAGTTGTTAGTGCCTTTTACCATTCTGGAACCTTCTCTGATTTCAAACTGGGGCTGTCTACACAGAAAAGGCTGAATGTAGAATCCCATATCAAAATTGCCATTTGACTCTGTTGAGTGCTAATCTGGAGCCAAAGATCTCCTTTTATCCCCACACAAGTTGTCCAAGCCCCCAACCCCCTGCTCGGGGAGCTTACAAATATGTAGGGCTGTGGGGGGTGTGTTGTCTATCGGCATGAGGCCATGGGAGGCCACTGTCAAGCTCAGCTCAGCTCTGAGCCCCTTCCCCACTCACTAAGGACAGAGGCTCCTTTCCACAGAGTTGCCTTTCCATTAGAAGGTCTCTGCCCCCTCCTCAGTTCCTCTGCTGCTGTTTCTCCTCCAATCACCAAACTGGAAGGCTAATCTCCTCTTTGGAAGCAGGAAAACCAGCTCTTTGAACATACATTTCACCTTTCTGTCTTTCACTCAGATCTGTTGGAATCTTTGTTTTTGCTCCCTTAAAAGCTGGGGTGCTTTGAAATACCAGTGAAAGAACAGAGGGGAAGAAAAATGCTCCCCATATAAGCAGATTAGTACCCTGAGATGACCCAACCTCATGGTGACGGATTCTTTGAAAGTTACTGAGATGTGTGACTCTGACCATTCACCATGGGAAGCTGAGGGGAGAGGTGGGCTGTGGAATAAGAACATGCCTTCAGAAAACCAGCTGACCAAAGAGTGAGCTAGGGGACATATAGACCCCACTGGGTTGAGACAAAGAGTGGGTGCTGGACCACACCACGCAAGATAAGACGGAAAGATGCACACGTAGCACAGCCTGGGAGCACTAGGGATACAAAACCCAGGAAGGAATAAAGCACAAATGAGGCAAGGGAAGAGAATATATTTTTGACCTGGGGTCACTGATGACATCTGACATATGTCACATGATACTGAAAAGTTCATTGAACATTTCAATAGAACTTGGTAAGAGCTTCATCAGTATTGCTGAATTCCCCAGGAATTCAGAAAAGGGAGACTGTCATCTGGCGAGAGTCCATGAAACTAATTAGTGGGGCAAGCCACTGATTCAGAGATTGCACAGGAATCATTAGTCACTGAACACCGCGCTGGCCCTCTCCTATGGCTCAGTGCCTCAGCCGGACACCACAGCCAGCCTGTGGATATTTTGGAACATAGCCTGGATGCCGCGCATAAGTTAAGGGGGCCCTGTGCTGTCCTCACTATGAACCTCACCATGACGCTTCCCTTAGAGGCCCTCAGAGACCACATCGGGATCCCTGTCCCCCCAACCTGTAGTGGAAACATGCCCCCACCTCTACAAGGCCAGTTATAACCACTGCTGCCCAGTTGCATGTCCTCTGGGTGGGGAAATAGTCCCACCAAAATAAAAAGTGCTTTTATAAAGAATTAAGATGACCTCTCAGAATCAGTTACCATAGGCTAAGTTGTGCTGCAGTGACAATCAAGCCCCAATTCTCAGGTACTTAAGATAATTCTCAGTTTATATTCACTGCAGATCAGTGGGGCTCTCCTCTGCTCTTTCCTCAGTCTGGCACCCAAGCAGACAGAGCAGCCACGTTGCTTCGTACTACGAAAGAGGAAAAAGAAAGCATGATGAATGGTGCATGAGCCCTTACAGCTTTCACCTACGAGTGACACCAATCATTTTTACTCACATTTTATTGGCCAAACCAATTCATATGTCCGCACCTAACTCCAAGAAGGCAGGGAAGTAAAAATCTCCAATGTGTCTGGAAGAAAAACTGAAAGTATTTTATGAACAACACTGATGAGCACCATGGTCTGTCCACTTAGTCAACAGATATTTGACTGTCCATCCCACATAAAAAACACAACCACCCTTCCCTAAATGAGGCAACCCAGAATGCCACCTGTTATTGGCTCCAAGCTCAATGTCCAGATTCTCTGAGTGATTCCTGATGATCTCTCCATCAGGCTGAGAGGCGTAGGTGGCTCTCTTCCTCAGGACCAGATGTGACTCCACTTGATCTGGAGACCTATACATGAACAGGGAGAAATATCTGCTGCCGCCACAACCATCAGCCCCTACACACACACACACACACACACACACACACACACACACACACACAGTGCAACAGTGGAACAGTGGGAAAAGGCAGAATAACCAGAAAACATTTCCACTAAGAGGAAGAATTGGAGAAACACAGCAGTCTTTGGTCACTAGCAATTCTGAAATCCCTCTGGGCAGATGCTTTAAGGGCCCCTACCCTAAGGTGGGGAGTGTTCTTTGTCACCCCTGACTCCATTTTCTGGGGTGTTTCCTTCTCAGTATTCTCCTAGGCCACATCTAAAGACGGTGGCATCACTCCATAAGTAACAGCACTAATACTATATCTGATAATAATTTATTTAAAAGCTATTTCACAAAAATGCTTTTAAAACATTAAACCAAAGCATAGGTTTATTTTATTTTTTTATAATTTTTTTAAGATTTTTAAAATTTATTTATTTGATAGAGAACGGGAGAGAGAGTGAGAGAGAGCACAAGCCGGGGGGGCGCAGCAGAGGGAGAGGGAGAAGCAGACTCCCCACTGAGCAGGGAGCCTGATGCGGGGCTTGATCCCAGGACCCTGAGATCATGACTTGAGCTGAAGGCAGACGTTTAACCCATCCAGGCGCCCCATCATAGGTTTATTTTAAAAGAATGTGGGAGAAAGTGCCTGCGAGGGTGTTCACCACAGAGTATTTCTGCCCCCTTCCCAGAGAGACGCTGGAAGGTGTGATCAAATGACTTGCTTTGGCCAATTAAATGTGAGTGGAAGTGCCTGATTCATTTCCTGGGTGCAATTTTAAGAGCCCATGTTGCAAGGAGGCCCTTTCCATACCTGGGTATTTACAGTCAGTCCTGTGAGAAAGAGCTAGGAGTCCCAACGTGTAGATAAAGAACCTGAGGCTTTCAAAGGTGAAGTAGCTGACCGTAGGTCACCCAGCCAAACCTGCCTCACCCCAGGTCTTCAAAGCCTGTCTTCTCCTCACTGTGACTTGTTCCCCCATTGCTGGTTGATCATTCCGTTGATGTCATTATGTGTTTGGGAAAATGCAGGAGCTGATGCATAAACCTTCTGACACATCTGTCAACTCTGGAATTAACCCACAGCAACCCTGCATTCCACTTGCAATCCCTTGCTATATGCTTCCTTAAGTGACCCAAGGAAAAAGAGTTTAGGCTTTAGAGTCAGAAAATTTTGAATGTGAGTCAAACCCCCATCCTGCCACTTCCTAGCTGTATGGACCCAGCAGAATCTGCAACTTCCCAGAGCAACTACATTCTCATCTATAAAACCAGGCTAATACCTCCCTTGTCATTGCAAGGAAGAGATGATAGGTATGTGGAGCATGCTTGGCACGTTTCACTTGAATAAATGTATCCATGGGAAACCATCTGCTGGTCCCCTCCTCCATCCCCTCTCTGCTCCTTGCACCTAAGCCCCACACGGCAAGCATGGTATGCTCTGTGACTCCAGCCTCCCCGTGGCTCCTTGCGTGCATGGACATTTCTCCCCTTCCCCAGGATGAACCCTCCCACACGGACCCTGCTCTCCCGGGTCCATCTGCAGATCAGAAGGAAGGTCAGTGAGGCGGGAGGATAGCCAGTCAGAAGATGAGTGTCGGAACACGGTGTAGGCAGGACCCTGATCACACAGTCTTTCAGGCCATGGAGATTTGGGTATCTTCCCTGAGAAGAAAGATAATATACCGGTAAATTTTCAGCAAAGGAGACAATCCTTAAGAAGCTTGAAACTTGGGCTTTCTAGGATAGGTGAGCGTTCAGCAGGAAGATAAGGAAGGCAACAGCAGGGAAACTTCACAGAGGCCCGTGCACCGTGCCCTGTCACTGGGAGGTACAGGGACTGGGAGGAGTGCAGAAGAGGCTGGGGGGTTGTGACCATAAGATGCCAGACTGCCTTGTGAGGGAGCTTGGATTCGCATCAAGACTTACATCCTCCCTGGAGCCAGGCTTTGTCTTGAAAGAACACGTCAGAAAACCTTTCTGTGATATTGAGAGCCCACGATGCAGCCCTTATTTGGCATATTCCTAACTTCCTTCAGGCCACTTACATGCATATCGTAAGCCCTCTGGGTGAGCCTCTAATTGCCTCTGGGCCTGCGATTGTGGGGAGCTTTTGAGGTGCTTCTGAGGTTGGCAAGGAAACAAGTTCCCATTTGTGAAATTTCCAATTGGGGTTTCACAACGCGGATAGGAAATAATTTGATAGCAGCTGCTTGGTGGATGCTCCCGGGAACGGGCTCGGGCACTGTTGCTGGGCAGAGCTCCGCAGCCCCAATTAGCCTGCTCGGTCCTGTTAGTGAACTTGAAAGCCAAAGTAATCAGTGGAACTTCATTTTCATTGGTGTTTTTTCCAGTCATTAAGAAAAAAAAGAGACTTCATTTACACTTAAGAAATGTTGCCAGTACAGCCTCCAGCATTTATCTTCATTGTAGAGAAAGGCTTTGGCGGTGAGGATGGACCTCGCATCACAGAAGAGTCCTCTTCCCCTCCGCGGCCGTCGCACACCGCCCTGCCTTCACCTCTGCGCTCCAGGTCACGGTGGTCTTAGGATGCAAGCCCACCCCCTCAGGGCTGAGCTCCGTGTGTGCCAACTCAGAAACTGCTGCCTACAGGCAAATTCCAGGTTCCTTGTCTCTCCCTGGGTCTTGTCATGAGAGAAGATGATTTAAAAGATGAATTAATTTGCCCTTTTCC